TGTGGTTGCAAGGGCCCTGCTGGGGTTTTGGGTTTTTTTTTTTTTTGCAACCTCTTAGCACTAACTGTCAGTGAATGTACCTTCATAGCCAGCAACTGAAAGTCACTAACTGGAACAAGATATTTGAGTCACAAATATGCCCAGTTTTAGGACCCAAAGCTTGAAATACTACTGAATTTTGCCTTCTCTATAATCTTTTAATTTTTTTTAAAAAATGGAATTCAAATAGTAAAAGAATGACCAATGTATTGTGAAACAGTCCTTAATGAGAAACAATAAGAACTTGGCAGAGGTTTTATATTATGAAACACTGAAGTTACGCTATTTCTTAACTCAAAACTGAAAAGAAGGCTGCTATAAGATGCCAAAAGCACAGGTGACAGGGGAACATGGTGCCATGGGGATTTCCCAAGAATATTTGGCCAGTGTAGTTAAGTGCAAAAATGTAGATGACCATTTTGGAGTCTATCACCAATAGCGTCTTCAGGCTCGGCCAAAGAATCACTAACTTCTTAGTTATGGAATTTTGAACCTTATGGTAGGAATGTTTAGGTCTGCTGGTTATTGTTGTATATACCATCTGGAAATCATTTATCAATGTTTTCCCCTCCCATTATTTACTCTACTATATTATACTTTTGAAAATCTGTATTCAGTTAAAACATTATTGGTTTTGCTACTAAGGACTAGTAAACAGGACATTCTGGAGGGTGTGTGTGCCAAGTTTTTGGGAGTATAAAAATTATCAACTTTTCTTTTCTTTTATTTGCATCCTACTTGCTAACAAGGAATGGTGATCATGAATCATAATCATACCAGGTTTGCATCAGCCTTGGGTTGTCTGAGTTTTGGAAGTGTTGATTAAGCTTCATGTTATGCAGGGTTATAATTAAGTAATTGTATTAAAATAATATTGTAACAGACGAGCACTGTAGTCAAGGTAACTGGAATAAGAAACTTAATGGGAACTTGGTAGCTACTGAAGCTAGGGTTGCCAGGAACCCCCGGGCATGGGCGGGGGGTAGGGTTGCCAGATCCAGGTTGAGAAACTCCTGGAGATTTGGAGATGGAGCCTGGGGAGGACAGGAGCCTCAGTGGGGAACAATGCCCTCCCAAAGCACCCATTTTCTCCAGGGGAACTAATCTCTGTAGTCTGGAGATAAGCAGTGATTCCTGGGGATCCCCAGGTCCCATCCCTAACTGAAGCAGCTTCAGTGCCAAATCTTCCCAGAAGTACTATGAAAGGGGGGGGGGGGGGTGGACATGTGCCATGTAACATATGGAAAGTGAATATACATATTCATCTTCCAGGCCCTCAAGCCATAGTGCAGCTAGGGACATCCACAATGTCCACAGCCAATCATAACTTCCCAAAGCACTATATCAACCCCAGCTACAACACACCCATAGCTCAGGTACATGGCATGGAGCTATATTGCTACTGAGAACACATAGAAAACACATATGGGCAGGGGAGAAACTTTGGTGAACCCTAGAGAAAGGGCATTTAGCACAACAAAGAACATTGTACACAAGTAGCTGAGGGCGGCAGTAGCAGCCCTAATAGCCCAGACTACCCTGATCTTGTCAGAGTTCAGAAGCTAAGCAGGGTCATTACTGGGATGGGAGACCACCAAGGCAGACTGGGGCTGCTCTGCAGAGGAAGGCAATGGCAAACCACCTCTGCTTGTCTCCTGTGTCGAAAGCCCCATGAGGCAGAACTTCATGGGGTTGGTTGCTACCTGATGGCACACTTTACCTTTTAGTTGAGGGAGAGAGAAGACATGGTCTGCTCAGACTCTATCTCTGGAGGACCCAAATGACAATGGAGAGCTTCCACTCCTCCAAAGGGGAATGCAAAAATAAAGCACTTC